ATTCTGTTGTACATAGGGTCACTGTGAATCGGAATTGACTCATAGGCAGCTAACAACAATAACAATGCTTCCTACATCCTCAAATTCAGTAAGATTTCATTTCATTGACCATTCATCCATAGTCATATCTCTCTGAGCCTTTTAACTTTTCTGAAACCTTATGATTGCACTGTAAACATTTGAATAATCCAGCATAATCTTCCCATATAAGGTCCTTAATCATATCTGTAAAATCCCTTTTGTCATGTAAGGTAACATATTCACAGGTTCAAAAGATTAGGAGGTGGTCATTTAGGGTAGTATTATCATGCATACCACAATGACCAATGAGAAAATGTCAACTATTAAAAATTGAATCATTACCTTGAGTTATCATACCACTATATTTGTATTAAAGCATTTTCTCTTTATGAGCTCTATAAATTTGCAGGCTTTTCATACATAATTAGTGTGAAAACACACAAGGACATAATTGACAAATTCTTAACGTTATTATGATTAGAATACTAGTGTTGTGATTCTGGATAGTTAGAGCATTTCATTTAAGGAAGTTGCTATGGATGAGTTAAATATTTTATAACAAACATTCTCTATTCTATTATATCTATTTTGTTGTTGTTAACTACCATTAAGTTGGTTCTGACTCATAGTGACCCTGTAAAAGATTTCCAAGGAGCATTTGGTGGGTTTGCACAACCAACTTTGTGATTAATGGGCCAGTGCTTATCCTACAGTGCCACACAAGGAATCCATTAGTTAGTAACATTTATTGTGTATGCCCCAAAACACCACATTTGTTATTTTATTGATCAAATTAACTGAATGTCTATGTAATATGAAATAATGAATAACTGAGTGTTTGTAGTATTTTCATAATCACAATAATCTTGAGAGTTATCACAATTAATATTGAGGAATGACAAAATATATATTTCATTTTTATTCAAATTCATAAGTTAAATTATAAAAATTTAAACAATATTAAGTAATTTGTATGAATAGATCTTAATATTAATTTAGAATACCCATCATTGTGTTCTATAATGGCCAAATGTCTGTGAATGCAGAAATGTTAATGTAATTTCCTAAAGTTTCTTGGATTACAGCCATATTATTTGCAAAAAATTTGTCTGTGAAGAAATACACCTCATGCACCAGTTGCCAATAATAATAATTTTCATTCCAGAACTTTGTTTATATTCCATTATACATTTTATAGGGAAATAAATTGAAACTAAACTTTCTTAAGTCTCTAACATACATCTGACATGACACCAGGGATTTCTTCTCATATTTAACATTTATGTTGTTGTTGTTAGGTGCCATCGAGTTGGTTCTGACTCATAGTGACCTTATGCACAGCAGAGTGAAACACTGCCTGATCCTGGGCCAACCTCACTATGTTGCCAGGCTTCAGTCCATTGATGCTGCCATTTGGCAAATCCATCTTGTTCAGGGTCTTCCTCTTTTTCTCTGACCCTCCACCTTACTAAACATGATATCCTTCTCCAGGGACTGTTCCCTCCTGAAAATATGTCCAAAGTATGAGAGACGAAGTTTGTCCATCTTGGCCTCCAAGGAGCACTCTGGCTGTAATTCTTCCAACACAGATCTGTTGGTTCTTTGGAAGCCTATGGCACTTTCAATATTCTCCTCCAAAAAGATAACTCAAAAGCATCAATTTTTCTATGGTCTTCCTTATTCACTGTCCAGTTTTCACATGCATATGAGGTTATTGAAAAGACCATGGCTTGGGTCAGGGGCACCTTAGTCCTCAAGCTGGCATCTTTGCTCTTCAACACTTTAAAAAGGTTTTGAGCACCAGATTTGCCTAATGCAATGTATCCTTTGATTTCTTGATTGCTGCTTCCATGAGTGTTGATAGTTCATCCAAGAAGAATGAAGTGCTTGACAACTTCAATCTTTTCTCCATTGATAAGAATGTTGTTTATTGGTCCAGTGGTGAGGATTTTTGTTTTACTTACATTGAGATGTAAGGCATACGGAAGGCTGTGCTCTTTGATCTTCATCAGTAAATGTTTTAAGTCCTCTTCACTCTCAGCAAGCCAGGTTGTATCATCTGCATATCAGAGGTTATTAATGAGTCTTCCTCCAATCCTGATGCCATGTTTTCCTTCATATAACCCAGCTTCTCAGATTATTTGATCAGCATATAGGTTAAATAAGTATGGTGAAAGAATACAATCTTATCGCACACCTTTCTTAATTTTAAACCATTCAGTGTTCCCATGTTCTGCCTCTTGGTCCATGTACAAATATTTCATGAGCACAATTAAGTGTTCCGGAATACTCATAATTCGCAATGTTGTCCATAGTTTTTCATGATACACACAATCAAAAACCTTTGTGTAGTCAATAAAGCACAGGTAAACATCTTTCTGATATTCTCTGCTTTCAGCCAAGATCCATCGGACATCAGCAACGATATCCCTCATTCCATGGCCTCTTCTGAATCTGGCTTGAACCTCTGGAAGTTCTCTGTTCACGTATGCTTGCAGCTGTTTCTGTATTACCATTAGTAAAACTTTACTCACGTGGGATATCAAAGAGATTGTCTGATGATTTCTGCATTCTGTTGGGTCACCTCTCTTTGGAATGGGCACAAATATGGATCTCTTCCAATCAGTCTGCCAGATAGTTGTCTTCCAAATTTCTTGGCAGAGATGAATGAGTGTGTCCTGTGACGCCTCATTTTCTTGAAACATTTCAATTTTTATTCCATCAATTCCTGGTGCCTTATTCTTTGCCGATTCCTTCAATGCACCTTAGACTTCCTCCTTCAGTATCTTTGGCTCTTGATCATATGCTGCCTCTTTAAATGGTTGAAAGTGTTCAATAATTTTCCCAGAGAATCTTTCAATAACAAAAGTCAACGCTTGAATTTTTTTCTTCAGTTCCCCCAGCTTGAGAAATGCTGAGCGTGTTCTTCCTTTTTGGTTTTCTGATTCCAGATTTTTGCACATTTTGTTGTAAATATTTGGCTTTATCTTCTCAAGCTGATCTTTGAAATTTTCTGTTCAGCTCTTGGACCTCCTCATTTTTTCCATTTGCTTTAGCCTCTCTATGCTGGAGAACAAATTTCAGTGTCTCTTCTGAAATCCATTTTGACCTTTTGTTTCTTTCTTGTCTATTTAATGACTTTTTGCTTTCTTCATGTATGATGTTCTTGATGTCATATCACAACTCTTCTGGTTTTTGGTCTTTAGTATTTAATGTATCACATCTGTTCTCTAAATTCAGGTGGGATATATTTAAGGTAATATTTTGGCTCTCGTGTACTTGTTCTCATTTTATTTAGCTTCAGTTTGAATTTGCATATGTGCAAATGATGGTCTGTTTCACGGTGTTCCCCTGGCCTTGTTTTGACTGATGATATGGGGCTTTTCCATCTTCTCTTTCCACAGAGGTAGTCAATTTGATTTCTATGTATTCCATCTGGTGACGTCCATGTGTATAGTCATCTCTTATGCTGTCTAAAGAAAGTATTTGATATGAACAAATCATTGATTTTGCAGAATTCTATCATGCATTCTCCAGTATCATTTCTATCACCAAGGCCATATTTTCCAACTACTGATCCTTCCCCTTTGCTCCCAACCTTTGTATTCCAATCACCAGTAATGATCAATACATCTTGATTGCATGTTTGATCAATTTCAAATTGAAGAAGTTGGTAGAATTCTTCTATTTCATCCTCACTTGCTTTAGTGGTTGGTGCATAAATTTGAATAATAGTGGTATTAACTGGGCTTTCTTGTAGCCGCATAGATATTATCCTATTACAGGCAGCGTTGTATCTCATGACTGATCTGGATATGTTCTTTTCAACGATCAATGCAACACCATTCCTCTTCAATTTGTCATTTCAGGCATAGTAAACCATGTAGTTGTCAGATTCAAAATGGCCAATACCCGTCCATTTCAGTTCACTAATGCCTGAGATATCGATGTTTATGCGTTCCATTTCATTTTTCAAAACTTCCAATTTTCCCAGATTCATACATTCCATGTTCTGATTTTCAAAGGATGTTTACAGTTGTTTCTTATTCATTTTGAGACGTGCGCCATCAGCAAATGAAGGTCCCATGGGCTTTTCTCCCACGGACTTTACTCCATTTGCGTTATCACAGTTAATTCTACTTTGAGGAGACAGCTCTTCCCCAGTCACATTTTGAGTGCCTTCCAACCTGAGTGGCTTATTTCCCGGCATTGTATCTGACAATGTTTCTCTGCTATTCATAAGGTTTTCAGTGACTAAATATTCGGAAGGAGTTCATCACTCTTTCTTCATAGTATGTCTTTGTCTGGAAGCTCACCTAAAGCCTGTCCACCATGGGTGACTCTGCTGGTATTTAAAATACCAGTGGCAAAGCTTTCAGAATCACAACACCTCACAAGCCACCACAGAGGAGTGGTGGCTGTTTGGTTCTAAGTGTAAGCTGTCACTTTAAATTTCAAGGATATCTGTGCACAGGGTGGGGGTGGAATGTCCATTCACTCAGGCATCCCCTCTAGTCACCAGAATGGAGATGTGCAGACAATGAGAGATCAATGAACAGATACCCAAAAAAAGAATGTCCACAACTGTATCTCTGCGGTTCTGTCAAGCATTCGTGGCTGTTCTGATCCGTCCCCCACTTTGTCTCTCTCAAGATGTTGGCTCTGGGAGGAGCTGAGCATCTTGAATTATAAAGCAATGGATTTTTTTATTCTGTTACAAATTTCCCTAGTTGTAAGCCTTCCAAGTTTCTAAATATTCCTTTATATGTGGTTCAGAGTTCTAGCACTACTCCCCGAGTCTGCTTGGTCTGGTATGCTGTGTTGTTGGTGATGGAGCTCCTCACTGCACATCTACTCCATCTGCCATCTTAGAAGCATTGTAAGAGGTCTCATAAGTAAGAGGTCATAATTTTAAATGGTATGACTCAATCAAGCTGAATAACCTGGTGTACCAATGATGTTTCCTTCTCTGTTTTTAGGAGCGAATCCCAGAGCGTCCTTCTCCTGCTTCTTCTCTGGAAGAGAGTCATCACCCTGGGAGTCAGACTTCCTCTCACCCAAGCAGCAGTGTGTCCAGCTCCCCATCTCAGATGGAGCAGTATTCTGAGAGAATGGGTTAGTATCATTTAAAGACTTGGAAGATAGTTTTGCAGGAAGTTCCTTATTGGGCAATAGGTAGAGATCAAAGATGCTGGAGTAGATGATACTTTCTTATAGTTGGTTTTATTGTATGGTCTTTTTTATTGCTGGAGCAATATGAACAGTGAAATGAATTTTAATACTGCAGAAGTTTGTTATCAGGAAGGACCCACCTTTCCTGCATCATTGAATCTTACAGGAACAATACAATAAGATTTGCATTGAGTATATGTTAGATCAATCTGTTGATATATCACAGAGAATATGATACAAGACACTTGTCACACTTACTGCATCCATTCAAATAATGGGAGAGAAGATATATTTTAGGCAGTTGTTGATTAAATAGTAATTAACAAGTGAAGCAATATTTGGTTTGCTGCTCACACAATAATTAAGCTCATATTTTAAATTATTTTCTACACATTTATATATTTTTTTTTCAAAAATCTTATATTATAGACATTATTCTAGACATAAAGTTACTGACACTAACTACGTATAAGAATATGGACATATCACTTGACCACCATGAATATTTATATAGAAATAATTACTGTCCTGTCTACTGCACTGGCTTTTTTGTGAGATTAAATGAAATAATATGTTGATAAGCACTTCAGAAGTTTAGAGTGCCAAAAAATTAGACAGTCAGAGCTATTTGTCTGGTTTTACCTTGGCTGATTATTATTTCCTGCAGTCTGATCCTATTCAGATATATAAAATTAAGTTGCTCCATTCCCCCCCCCCCACAACTGCAACTAATATAATTTTATTTAGAAAGTGATCATTATGAGCCAAACTATTTAGGTAAAATAATTGTTCATCTTCTATAAAATCCAATGTTTTATGTACTTATTTTTTTTTAGACTTATTATTTATGCAGATACTATATATACATTTTACTATGTATCTATATTCTTTTAGTCTTAATGTGGTTACTTTTTATGAACTCTAAATAAATTATTGCTTCTGCCTCACCACAGTAATGTGATTTGGAATTGGGGTGGGGGAGTAGGGATATTAGGGAATGTGTTAGGTTTTAGATTTGTACTGGGGAAGAATGTAGATGATTTTTCCATTGTGGAAATTGACCTGGATTTTACTTAAACTGTCAGTGTTATGTATTGCTTGTAGCATTTTAGCTTCATTGTTATATCAGTGGTTATTTAATTTGATTCTTCATATACTCATCAACAAAATTTTTACAATCCTGATACCCAAACCACACACTCAGATCAGAGAAAAATGGAGTAGAGGTTGGGTATCAATGTTTTTGTTTTGTTTTCGATGAGTCCTCAGGCAATTCTAATGTGCAGCCAGGGTTGAAACTTTTAAACTAGAGCCTGAAATTGCTGATTCTGAAGGAGTAAATTTAATTCCTGGAAGAAATGAAAAGTAGTCTTCTATCTTTGTTCTGGTCTATGGGCACAGAATACCAGATTGTTGCAGCTTTGGTTCAAATGGATAATGCAAAAGGTTATGACTGTATCATCCTTAGTGAATCATCGAATAAAATTGCATATTATTCTATTGCTATAATATTAGTATTTAAAAGAGAAACAGAGGAAGAGGGTGAAGGTAGACAAAGAGAAAAGAGAGAAAAACTGCATTATTTATTGAGGGATGAATAAACATGTGAAAATATAAATGAATTGATGACTTACATTTAGAAGCAAAATCAAATATTTCCAGAGCACTGTAATATAGTAGCAAAGAATCTGGACAACAAAATACATTTTATTACACTAACAGTTAGGAAGCTGTATCTACATTCCACAATTGTTCAAACATGTTAATGTGACTACCTACAGAGGAATAAAAGATTTGATAATTATTAACTTTAAAGTGACCATATTTTATTAAGCTAATATATTTTAATAAAATGACAAGAGAAAGTAAACTTTATACAATAAGAAAACTATGCTTTCTCTCTCAATATAAATGTTTTAATAAAAAATACTTATAATTGCCAGAAAACTTTATTTTATTTATCTATTGATATATCCATATATGCAATTTTCAGAAACCTATATAAAGTGCATTAAATGTAATAATTATTTAAATCCATAGTCTATTAAATAGTAATGTGTTTTCAGATGAATTTTGGGAAATACATTATTAATTATTTAGGTAACTGAATAATCTGCACATAGATTTTGAAAGAGGAAATAGTTTAAATTATTTAAAGGAAGTATGTTGGCAATTATGTATGTACTATATATTAATTAAACTTTAAAATTCATGAGTAAACAGCTTGTTGATCTTTAAATTGTGTGATCAACAAACTAAAACAAATCTTTATACATTCTTAGAAGTATAAAAAATTAATTCTAGTTATTATTAGTGTAAATTAACCATTAATGTGATACCGCATTGCCCTTCTTTTTGGTGTTTTGCATAGAAAGTCACTCAGTTATATCTCTTATTTATAGTTATGATGCCCAGCAATACAAAGGAACTTATTGTTGATCAGGATAATGAACCGACTATCAAAAAATTTCAAGGGGATTATAAAGGTAAAATAATTTTTACTTCTCTGTTTTAACATACTAACTTCATCAACATCCCAGTGCTGCTTCCATATTTACTTAAGTCAGAATAGATCATTCTGGCTTTGGATAATTTCTCTTAGAAGTAAAACAACCATGACTAACTGAAACTTATTTAATGTTATAAATTACATATTATCCCAAAATGTGTCTCTGTATGCATTTAGAAACTTTACCTTAAACCTTTGTATTATGCCTGAGCAGAGGTATTTTACTCTCCTTGTATTAAAAACACTTCATTGTTAACTATGTTTAAAATGCTGAAGGGCTCAGTGTTTTTAATGACTATGTTTGCAAAAAGCTAATTGTCGCAGGGAAAAAAATGCTCCCTTGGAAGCTATTTTAAAAGTACTTATTAATTTTGAAATTTCACCTGTAAGTTTAGACAGTTAATTCATCAAGCATTTACCTGCTTGATGACATAATATGGGCTCAATCTAATTTTGGTACTTTCAAGTACTATATGACCTCTGCATGGTATTCAGTTCTTTCTTGGCATATCTTTTAAAGGAAGATAGTTGATCTAGTTTGCCATTGACTCAGCTCTGATTCATGGGACCCAGTATAGGGTTTCCAAGAGCAGAGGGTAGATTTGAATTGCTGATATTATGGTTAGTAGTCCAGCGCTTATCCTACAGTGCCATACAAGGAAGAATAATAATTTTAAAATGCTACCCTCTGGACATGAAAGCTGGGTATAACTTTGCTTAAAGACTACAAAGATAAGAGCAAAGGAAATAGCATACATAATGATTGTCACCATGCATTAGACAGCATCTCTAAGCTAAAGAACGTAAGATAAAATGTAATTTATGAGATCATCAGATGATGTGTTAGTACTTCTTCACAGAGTACATTTTCCTCTTTCTACTAAAAATGTTCATATGCATACCAAAATAGTCAATTAGCTAATGAATTAATTGAAAAAATGTTTTTTCTTTTCTAGATTGAACTTACTTCCTTAATTATCTAGATAAACATTTTAGTCAGAATTTTGTATAACATATTAATTTAATTTCACTGATCCATGGTTTGCTTCTTTGCCACAGTGTCTTTTTTTCATACAGACACTAAAAAATATATATCCTCTAGTGCATCAAGATGCAAATGATTGATTTCAGAATAGTTGTCAGGTAGAATAAGTCAGGTTAAGCATAGTAAACTACCTAAATTCTTACACAAGCAATGAAATTTTAGTTAAAGATGAAGCTCCATTCATAATCCAGCAATAGCTTTTTTTCTTAGACCTCTCTCTCACCAAATCATGACTATTTGAAGAATAGTCTGGGTGTAAAACAAAATTTCTTGGAAAGTCTAAAGTTGCACATGACAGACATGATTCCATCAAAACTGCAATCTCCATAGGCCAAAATGGTAATCTCCATAGGTCAAAATAGGCTCAAGTATACACTGTAGTGTCTTATGAAAAATCAGCTGGAGCTCTAGTGCAGATGTACAGTAACTGATTTTCATAAAATACGCAGTGGTATGTACTGTCATTTCTGAATCTCTTGCTGTGCAATGGCACAGTTTTAATCACTTCAATCAGAGAGATTGACAACACATAGTGATGAGGACATTAATAAACAGAGGTAAGATATTAAATTACACTCCTGCTATAGGGAGTCCTGGTGTGAGTTAATGTGTCAGACTGCAAATCTGTTTGAACTGAAAGGTTGGTGGTTCAAGTTCACCAGATGCTCCTTGGAAACCCTATACAGGGTCGCTATGGGTCGGAACCAACTCGACAGTACTTTACAACAACAACAAATAGTGAAAGGCTTTATTTCAAGTTGAATTTCAAATGCTAATTTCTGCTATTTATATTTATGATCTTAAGGTAAAATATATTTTCCTTAAACATATTAAATGTGAACTTAGTTAAAATATAAGTCTGAACCTTAATTATAAAAAGTAAGCTGTCTATACAACTAGGGTAAACATATGCTTCCACATATGTTTTGAGTAATATCATCATGACTCTTAAAATGATTTATAGCTCTGAAAATGATAAAATGTCAGCTTTGCTATTATGTGGAAATTTTCAGATAACAAAGAAATACCATCTCAGAAAACCCACTCTATCTGCACCTTGTAAAATTGTGTGGCAATATAATACATGTTTCATGTGATATTTTGCATTTGATTTTAACATATAGACATGTGAAAGCCTTTGTGGTCTGGCCTTTCCTGGAAAAGTGACGTACTTTTAGACTGTGACCAAAATTATTTACCAAAGTAACTATTTGGACCTGGGCTAATCAATTTTGACTAAACTCACTTATCAGTCAAGTCTTTCACTTTATGTTTCCACAGATATTGTCCAATAAATTTACCTAATCTGCTACTGGTGATGACACTGTGTTGACATAGTATTTATTAGTTAGTTCTAGAATTCATTATAGTACATCAGTGAAGACTTCA